GGGGACTGGTGGGAGCACGAGTTGTGGGGAAGGGGTGTTGGGAGGCACTGGAGCCTGGGGAGGGGATAAATGGTTTTCTCTGCAGCCTGAAGGCTTCAAAAGTATGGAAGTGTTGGAAAGCACAGGAAGAGGGGCTCTAACAACATGAATTGCTGTTGAACAGATGGGTGGAGGATGAGGAAGTCAGTAAGGTGGATGTAAATATTCCTCCATGAGAGAAAAATGCTCCTTGCAAAAAAAAAAAAAAAAAAAAATCTTAAAGTGAAGCTTTCATTCATTCAGCAGAGTGTAAGTGTTCCTGGTGAGCAGGACTCAAACTTCTGTTCAACTCATCCATTTCAGTTTGTGAGGAGGAGTGTGATTTCCAGGTCTGAAGGGTGAAATGTGTGTGTTTTTATCTCCTGTGTCCGTAACTCCTTCTTGCCTGATTTGTCTCTAAATATCTGATAGCTTTTCATCTGAAAGCTAGCTTGGAGTGATTGCTAGGTAGATGTGTGCAGGCATTAGAGTGGATGAATTAGGCCTAGAGTTGAGATCCTCATGTGAGGCATAATAAAAAGCACAACTTTTTTGGTAGATGGGAGTTTCACTGCATAGCTCTCTAAAGGTCTTAGTTGTGGCAGTAGCCTCAAGTAGTTCCCTATACAGTATGTTTACGTCCACAGAGATGCTTTTCTTAGTATCGTGCTTCTGATCACATTTCATCTCTGGATGGCTTTCTGTTTATTTTTCTCCCCTAGAACCAGTAGAAGAGTCTCTGCTAGAAAAATTTGGATTCCCTGAAGCTGGAACAGAGACCAGATGTTACACAAATCATGCACTGTCTTACGACCAGGCAAAACGGCTGCCTAGATGGGTGATTGAACATATCTCAAAACAGAAGACACTGGGTATGTAGGTATTTGTTTTCTTACATTTATGGCACCCAGAATGGGCTTTGTGGTTCACAGAAGGTGGACCTGGGAGCATGCAGGGAGAAAAATCCTATAGCATTCTCTAGGTATGGATTTTTCCACCCATTCACAATCTGACTGGAGGCAGCAGGCCTCTGGGTGGATGTCAGCTTCGTGACAGTATTAAAGCTGATGTTGCTAGTGATTTAAAAGAGATCTGTCACTGCAGGTTGGCAGGCCTCTTCAGTATTCTTTCTCTAGTTGGGACTAGTCTGGTATTGAACGTACAGTGTACTGAAGCCTGCAGGATACACTCGGCCAAACGGCTGAGTATGAAAGGGAAGAATGAAGAAAAACTAGAGCTACCTTCCTTGAGAAATTTCTGGTTTGAATTTATGAAACAGTCTGTAAGCACCAGATCTATATATCTGTGGCAGCATAAACACACTCAGACATGTTGCAGGAAGGAAGCTTAACTCACCTCTTTTAAACATGAATGGAGAGAAGATGAAAAACTGAAAATTAAACTTTTCTTGCCTGATTCAGACCTGCAAAGTTCAGTGTTACTGCTCGGGCGTATAAAATTGCTCTTGCTTCCTTAGCTAGTGTAGTTATTTCTGTGGGGCAATTTACATCAGTTTAGGCACTGCCCCATATGTGGTAATGCTTGTGGAGTCAGTGCCTTTAGTGGCCAGACTGTTTCATCTACAGATCTTCAAAAGAGTTGCTCACAATAGAAAGAAGGAAAGATGAATGTCTATCTGTGAGATAATGGTGAAGCAAAGGGCATCAACAGTTGTAGTTGTTCAAAGCTAGATAGGGCATTACCTACTCCCTGCAGCTGTTACTTACTTTGATGCATTACCTACTCTGCTGTATTTTCCGATGTGCATTATCTAATACTCTCTCCCCTGTTCTTTATGCAAGACAGAGGCTCAGTGATTTTTTGCTGTCAGTGGTGAATGAAATGTGAGTGGTATACAGTCATTGTAAATTAAGTTTATAGCATTAGTTCAGTTTTTATAAGGCAAATTATTAGTAATGGAGGTAACTGTATCATTGTAAAGTGTTTTATGAACGTAGTAGCCCTCTAAATATATCTTAATCACTGTCTTCAAATTACCTTTCAAAATTAAAAGCATGATCCTGAAAATATTTATAACCAACCCTTAAGTAGCATCGTTGATGCCACTTCTTTCTGAGAAGAAAGCAGTAATTCCAGGCTTACTTTCAAGTGGGCCTTAACAGCCGACTTGTTAAAATGTTTTCCAAATGATCAGATACAACTAACCTGCAAGTTGGAATTAGGCATCTTGAGGCATTCAGCTCTAATTTATGTCTGATAGGTAGTCTAGTTGAGATTTGAGGCAGAACTGTGTTGTTCAGGGACAGTCACAAAAAATGGAGTTTTGAAGCCATGTGATGTAAAAAAAAAAAAAGTATTTTATTGATAAGTAATAACTTAAATGTTTAAAAAAACATGGAGGAAAGAAATTAGCTTTACCTGTAAATGAGATGTACAAATCTGATTACAGAAGAAATTATCCATTTTTATCAATGCAGTGAACAGATAATAAATGAGGATGTATCTTCCGTTTTTAAAGTTTAATTGATAAATTATACTTTGTCTTAAAAAATGAGAATAAATATGATTTTTTAAAGAATTCTGTTATTTTGCATCCTGATAAACTTGTCAGTGTTGCTTTCTAAGCATCAATCCTGTATTAAAGTATTACGTCACATACTTTACCAAAAAAAGATAAGAAAAATGAAGCTCCTTCCCTCTGCCTGCACTGCATAAAGACCACCTCTCTGTTTTGACATCACCTCCAGGGACATATGCACACATGGTCAGCAAAAGGAGGAAATTGCCTACAGGCACTGGTTTCCAAGAGGTGCATTATCCATATGCATGCTTATTTTCCACTCCTTCCCTTCTTCTTGTGGTCCTTCCATATTCTTGGGCTCTTCGGAGAGCTGCCATGTGGAGAGTGTGTACCACACTTTGTTTCGGTATGGAGCACAAGGAAGCGTAGGGTGCGTATGTGCTCGATTGTTCCCTGGAGAACCTTCCTCACTATGGATGTTCGGGAGTTCTCGACCATCCCCTAAGAGAGACAGTGTCTTATTGGAGTTTGTCAGTGTCAGAGTAATTCATGTGAGTGTCTTCTGGCCATCGTTTTCCCAAGGAAGCAGTCGGTGTTTGGGATGAAGTGGTCTCAGAGTTGCAGCCCACTCCAATAATTTCCTTTCCAAGGAGGTGACTGGGACTTCACACAGTGCAAGGACACATATAGGTGTGTGGCTGGTAAACCTGGGAAGAAGTCACAGGAAAGATAGCAGCTTAAAGTGGGCTTCCATCTTTGCAACAGTTAAGTTAGCTGCCCCCACAACCCTCTCTCTCAGAAAGTGTTTGTCTGCCAGAAGACTTTAGGCCCAGTCATTTTTGTGCATGATTCCCAAATGTCTAGAATGGCAGAAGGAGAATGTTGGAAAGGGACAGGAGAGCTCTGCGCTTATTTCTGTGCCTGTGAAGAAAAAATTACTTAAGACTGTCTCTTGAATGGGTTTATTATTTTACTGAGTGTAACTTTTTAAAGATACACCCATTCTACTTCCAGGCTAGACTTAGAAAAAGAAGAAATGCTTGTAGTGGATGAAACACAAAACTGGACTTGCAGCTGGTGAAGATCTGTATATCTTCATTGTCCTAAAAAGTGAATCTGTACTGGTTTATATCTTTAGCAATCTTGCCTTTAATGTTAATCTGCATTATGATAAGGCTAAAGTATTTTGCTTCTGTTTTTTCTCTATAAGACAGTAAGCATGTTAGAATTTCTAGTGTGTAGTGGGGAAGAATTTAGAACTGGAGTACAGATATTTAAGCAGAATTATTCTTTTTCTGTGGTTGAGGAGAAAAATACCCAATTTAGATTAACGTATTGAATCCTTAAGCATGGGTCATTTGTCAAGATGTGACAGAAGCAGTTCTTTTGTCATAGTTTAATGATAACCTAACAATTTAGTATGTTATTCCTCAGGCAATGCAGACCGAAGGCACTGTAAATTCAGACCAGATCCTAACATCCCTCTAATGTTTAGTGCTGTCAATGAAGACTACCTTGGGAGCGGATGGTCACGAGGACACATGGCACCAGCGGGAGATAACAAATTTTCAACAGTAGGATTTTTTTTCTTTATTTTTATTTGTGTTTATCAGTCAGAAAGGGTCAAAAGACCCTTAAAAGTAATATGTAATGTTCCTTTTGCAGTTTGTTTTGAGATGGAACATGGTCTCATTATTGATGCCACAGACCTGGACTTGGATTTACAAGGTCTGTTCCTGACTGAGCACTGTAGGATGCGCTCACAGTCCTCTTCAGGCATCTAAATCAGGTGCATCCTCTGGTGACATACCTCTCTTCATAAAATCACACCTAGATTAGCTTGTTTGGCAGACATGCTGTGGGTATATCTTGCACAGTGTAGTGTTAAGCATTCTCCTCAACCTCTTGTATGTCACAAATGTCTCTCTGTAAAATGCAGATGATAACCTTCACCAAACAAACCTTGAAAGTGTCTTCTGAAACTCAGTTAAGGGGAGACAAGGAACGATGACTTCATTCTGGCCAACAGGTGCTGAGATGTTTAAGGCTAGGTTTGGCAAAGCAAACATGCTGTTAAGTACTGTTCTGTATTGGCAAGGGGATTGCCTGGATGATTTAAAAGGCTTTTTCCTTTCTGGCAATGTGCATGAGGTAAATTAGAACCTTCTTTTGCCATAGTTTTCTTTCAGTCTATAAAATGTCTTCACCTGCCATTTGTTTGAGCTGTAAGAAAAGCATGCCCTAATGCCTTGGCTGACTAACAAAGCAGCCTTGGATTTATTGGATCCTCTTGTGAAATGTGCCTAATGCAGCAATTTGTCAATTAAGAAACAGTTTGAATTTGTGTTTCTGCCAGGCAGAATAGTATGCAGTGGGGCAGAATGACAGCACAGTGGCATGTGGTGGATGAAAAAACCAGTTGTTTTATTTCTACTGGAAATTTCTTTGTGGTTATTTGCTTGTGATATCTGGGGATTTTTAGCTGGTGAGCTACCTGTACAGAGAGATCCTGGACCTTGCTTGAAATACAGTGAGATGATACAGTCTTTCAAATACAGGATTATAAAAATTTAATTTCACAGTTCAATTAGTGCAAGTAGTGTTTGTTCATTATCCTAAGGACTACTGTCAGCCCCTTCACTTTGAAGAAATAGTATGTGAAAAATATGCACAAGTACAGTACCTATGAAGATTCTGGGTTAAGATCTCAGAATTTTTTTCTCCTATACTTCCTTGCATATGTGTAGTTTTTAGTGACAGGTCCTTTTGCATCTGGAGGTATGTGGGCTTCAGTTCAGTGAGGTTTATGACACTTCTAAAGGTAAAATTAAGCAGATATGTAGCTGTTTGACCATTATGGTCTCATAAATAATTTAATCACCTGAATGTTATATATTTGTAAAATATTGGTTAATATTTTTAGAAAAAACTTTTCTTGTAAGGGAAATAAAAAAGCTAGCCATTAGGCACTCAAATAAATGAAAAGCATGGGTGAAACCATCTTTCCCATTGAAAGAGGGGAGTAGCTAGTTGCTTCCAAAGACATTGTAACTCTCACACTGAGTAACATAGTAATTCCTGTGCCTCTAGAAGTGGACATTCTTGTACTATGTTTCTGTCAAAAAAAAAAAAAAAAGGTACATTTTGTAAGGTTTGCACCTCAATTGTGCACCTCTTAATCCAAAATAATTTTGTAGGTGTTCTGACTTAGGTTTTATCTGACCTTTTATGTTGAGGATGTTAAGACTAAACTAGAAATGGATTCTGATCAAAAAACTTGTAAAATGTATTTTTCGCTCGTAATTGTTTTGATTCAATTATATTATTTTCTTTCTGTATGCAGAAAGCTATGGCCGAAACATTTTATCTGTCTAACATCGTGCCTCAGAACTATGAAAATAATGCTGGATTTTGGAACAGGTGAGAAATTACTTGTAAGTAAATGAAGTGAAAATTATCAAGTAGTGGCATAAATAAAAAATGCTATATTTAGAAAGCTTCTTCACATCAAAGTATTCTGAAGCACTTTGTAGGCTATCTGTAGAGAACATAGCAACTTTCTCTGAAATGAAAGACAGCTCAGTCCTCGCAGTACAAGAACAGTGTAATGACTACTTTAGTTTTTTATTCAGTCAAACTGTAGAGGACGTTTATTTAGAACAGATAAAATTACTTCTTCTGGCAGATGTGAGTAAAGGCTTAACATCTCTGTCCTTAAGGAAAATTCAGTAGGAGCAAGGAAAGAGTTTGGATCTTGCTTTAACATGTCTTCCTCAAAAAAGTGCTTGCAGTGTGAGATTATTCACATCTCTCTATGTAGGCATTGGTTCACTTTGAATTGGAGAACTGAGTGCTCCCTGCTGAGTCGTGACTACTTCAGGTCGTAGGTGTTTCTTGGAGTGCTGGCTTCCAAGTAGCAGTCAGGCAGGTTCTCTGTCACTTGTGAATACCAGCTGGATCGACCTTGAGGTGAAGTGAGTGGTTAATAACTTTAAACTTTCTTCATGTAGGATTTTTATTCTTTCCTTCCTTTGAGCTGAGAAAAACATTAATGAAAGTACTGTTCATCCAGTGCTTCTTCCATAAGACTTACAGAATGTTAAGACTCAGAAGGAGGAGGGAAAAATGATGAATTTCATAAGATTTGCTCAAGGGAAGGTTAGGAAAATTATGTACAGTATTGTACTGAAAGTCTATCAGATATGCATCATCATACATGCTGTTTTCCAGTTTTATGAGAATGAATATAGAAGCATAAGAGGCATTCAGTAAGGTTGTACTGTTCTATAGACAAATAAATGCTATAACGTTTTAAGATAATTTTTGTATTATTTTAATACATTAAGTATCTGGGCATAAAACTTCCTTATACCAAAGGTCAGCATTTGTATCAGTTCAAGGCTGGAAACACTCTTTATTTCCCTTGAGCAAGATCTCTGCCTAATCAAGAAATCATGGGGAGTGTTTGAAAATTTCCCCTGGCACTATCAGCCCAGCAATTTAAGCAGCTATTATTACTTTCTCCCAACCCCAGCACCCTATGCCCACATTTTAACGTGCAGACAAGTTTAATGATAAATAGTTTTAAGGATACCTTGTTTCACATGTGTTGTATCCCTTCCTGGCTTCAGTACTCTCTTCCTTTCTCTTTTTTTAATTGCTTGCTTCTTGAATTGTCTTCTGAAGTGCAGGTAGACAATACAGCTTAGTCAGTTTACCAATCTGTTGTTTTTTAAAGTGGTGCTTGCCCTCCAACCATGTGGTTTTGCTGCTTTCCCAGTTCCAGCTCTGGTACTAGCCTGACTGTGGCAAGTCAATTCCATTTGCTAACCTAGTTAAACTGTTTTGCGTGTTGTTTTACTTGGTTATGTTTCTGCCAGATTAGAAAATTCAATCAACTGGTGAGATGAGTGCCAGAGCCCACATGGAAGATGGACTGGGACTGTTCAGCTGGGGCAGACAAGGGGACCAGTAGGAAAAGGGAGAGCAGGACTGCATCTTTCAGCAAGCTATTAGATAGTAAGCTATAAGATTGGTTCAGTAGTGTGGTCTAACTGCACCTTAGTATTTATTCTTCATTCTCTTCTCACCAACATGCATGTCTCTTCTTTCCTGATATTTAACTGTCATTTTCTGTCTTGTTTTGAGTGCAATCAAACTCTGTAATCACTGTAATCTGATCTCTATCCCTGCTGCCACCAAAAGCAGTTTGCTCCCCAGCTGCATTTATTCCCATTCTTTCCCTGTGCCAGGTGGTGTTTGTATTGCCATGCTGTGAGACAGCCTGAGGAGCTGAGCTGCTTGGAAGCAAAGCTGACGACAGGAGGAAAAAAATTAGCTTCTGGTCAATGCTTTGGTGTATCACATGGTGGCTCACTATTACCAAAGAAGAAAGGGCTCATTCCTGCTAACTCTGATTTGTGTGAGCTGACTTGACTCACTAACCCAGCACAAAAAAAAGACTGTTTTTGTTCAGGGCTATTGACAGATAAAGAGTGCTAAAGTTGGGCCAAGTAAGAGATAAGAGGAACAGGGATGAGACAGAGAAGGGGCTGAAACTTTCCCCTTTCAGAGGCAGCCAGATAAGCTGGGCTCATATGTCTCATGGTTTGGTCTGTCTGTCCATTTGAGTGAAGTGGAACTCTGTCTTTAGTAAAGAACCAATGGGTTCTCACTGGTGTGATTTCTGTAACGCTTTGGGTATTAGATCAAAGATGGGCTATAATCTTTTGTTTAAGATGGGCGTGATTCAGAAACTTTATTTGGAGAAATATTTTATGCTGTAAATGGAATCAATTAGTTTAAAAAGCAAAAATATGAGTATTTCTGGATTTACTACTTTATTTTTAAACAGTTTTATATTAAAAAAAAAATAGACTTATTGGGAATGGCATGTAGAAACTTCCTAAGTACTTCGAGCTACGGAAAGAACTGTCTGTTGCAGGACATTGGTGTCTTGAGGAGGAACATACATATCCAGTAATGTGGTAAAACCTTTTGAAGTAAGAGCTCCACAACCTGCTGTTTGAAACAAGGATTTTACTAATCCCAATTGACCATCAGCAGTGTATTTCTGGTTTCAAGTGTGGGAGTAAGTAGAGAACTCAGGTTTTCAGGACAGGTGTTAGGGCTATAGAAACCATTTTCAAATGCGTGCGATAACACATGCCTATCTGTAAATAAATGCACTGGGACAAGTTGGAAGTATGACTTGGGCCTGCGTTTTACCTTCTTGGGCTTGCAAGTCAGTCACATGAGTTTGGAAAAATGCTCCCAAACTGTCAGGAGTTCCTCTTGGCCTTCACAGTATTTTTCAAACACTGTTATGTTAAGTTTTGCCAGCTGACTTAACCCTATCTGACATATATATTCCAGGATGGAAATGTACTGTCGGGAATTGACCGAGAGATTTGAGGATGTTTGGGTGGTTTCTGGACCTCTGACCTTGCCTCAAACAAATGATGATGGAAAGAAGAGTGTTACTTATCAGGTATGTATATATGTTGCTGGGTTAACTGTACAGTGGTAATACATTAGTTAGTTAGTTAAAATGGTTATTGTAGCTTCATAAAACAAAGTTAAACATCCTAGTACATGCAAAATGTACGAAATGTCCAGTACTAGTTGAGACAAACTCAGTAGAGATGTTATGTCTTGCCTACACACAAAATATATAATTTTAAAATAATTTGTTTTAGTTTTCTCACAAAGAAAGGTCTATTAAATGTCCATTCATAGGCTACAACAAAGCTGTTTTCTGACTTCTGTAACACATAACAGTATCTAAAGAGAGAGTTAGTGGGTTTTGCTGGTGTGTATCACAGAATCACAGAATGTTAG